CCCCCGGCCCCGGCGCCCCCGACTTCCCCGAGGAGCCCGAACCCCGGGCCAGGAGCCGAGGGCGGGCCGGGAGCTCGGCGCCCAAAGGGAAAACTCCTGAGAAAAAGACCAGAGGGGGCAAGAGGAAGGCGGCGCCGGCTCCGGGGCAGGAGCGGCCCGCGGGGACCCGGCCCGACCCCGACGACAGCCCCGACGCGAACGCCGAGCTCGTGGAGACCTACTGCGCCGAGAAGTGGCACTCGCTCTGCAACTTCTTCGTCAATTTCTGGAACGGCTGAGGGGCTGCGGGCCTGGGGAGGGACCCGGGCGGGCGTCCGGAGGAGGGAAGCTAAGCGCAGCTCGGACCCGGGCCGCGGGAAGAGCGGGGAGGAGCCTAGGCTTAGGGGGGCACGGGCCGGGTGGGGGTCTCTAAGGCGGACGTTAAGTGCTTTTGAGGCGTCTTTGTTTCAAGAGCAGAAGAAATAGTGGGAACAAAAAATAGGCATTCATTAAATTTGCAAAACTGTAGATTGGTACGGAGAGGCCAAGAAGAAGAGGGAAGAGACTGCAGCGGTGGGAAGGTCGTGGGAAGCAGGATGCAATGTATATTAACGTGGTTGTATTAAAATGTAAGCACGAGTGATAGATACTCTGAGCAGGCTGAGTTTTTCCATGTCTCCCCTATTCTGCTGCTAAGATGACAGCTGCAAGGACTTTCAAGGAGGCTGGGTGTCACAGATGACTTCTGTGGGAACATAATTGTTTGTGGCCTCATGGATCAAAACTGCCTTCAAGAAAAGTGATGGCCTTTCAGCGCCTTTTTTCCCCCAACGAAGTGATGTCAAAAACCTCCATTAAGCACACAAATTCAGAAGTGAATTGCAGAAATGGAGTACTCAGATCATTTTTTATGTAAGCAAATCTTTTAAAACTTAACTGTCCTTTTTAAAACTGCTAACATGCGCGCGTCAGTTATTTTGACCATTACCTCACTTCAATGTAGTTAACATGTCTCACGTTTAATGTAATGGATAATCAACTTTTCACTTTTAGGTGCCCAATAAAAACTAAAGCTAGATTTAAAGAACTGACAAGGCAGTGGAAATTCCACCTGCATTTTTAGCTATTTCCAGTGGCACTCTGAATTAAATTGTTAAGCACACTTTGAATTGTTGGGAAATAAATTAAGACGACTGGGTAAGGTAAAAGTCACCACTGGCAGCTACTGGGCTGCACAGGGTTTTCTGTATTTCTTTTCCTTCCTGCTCTCTACTCTCTTCTTTGCTTCCTGGCCCTTCCCT